TGAAAGGCAGCTGTTTCAGGCTGTGTCCTAACAAGACCTTACCTTCCTGCACAAGGCTACAGGGACAGTTCGTGTTTGCTATTCAACTGAGGGTCCCTGACGTCAAAGAATGTCTGTGGGTTCTAGGGAACAGTGGAAACTCTTTCCGGAGCAATGCACAAATGCCTGACTAATGTTTTTATTCCCATTTTTCCTCTCTCCCCGCCATTCTTGGTCTCCTTTCCAGGAAATGGACTGGAGAAGCTAGCAATTGATTAAAAATAGGCTGTGTGTGAGGAAAACAGATATGCAGGAGCCAATGGAAAGTCTCAGCACCTCAGAATGCCGGTGGTAGCTATATTTAGGCTTGGAGTTTAGGTTGCTTTGGTGCTGGCTGAAAGCCTGCCTTTTGGAAAGGAAGAAGTCTTCCCTTGATTGATGGTTCAAGGCCTGTGCCCTTGCTTGATTGACCTAGTGGGACAGTTTCCTGATGGAAAGCTCAGCATGCCTGTTCTTTTTTCAAGAGGCTTCGCCCTGGGAATCTTAGATTTGGGAAAGGGCCTGGGCTGATGCCCAAAGTGTGGCCTCCTGGCATCAGGTAAATGAAAAACAGGTCCAGGAAGGAAGATACTTAGGAAGAGGTTTCCCAGTAATTTCTCTTGGTTGCCTTACTCCAGTCCTTTTATTCCCTGGTTAGGTTGCAAGATAGTACAGAGACTAGGATATGGGTTTGATCCCTAGCATCAAACGGCTTTGTAAGCATCTCTGAATATGGCCCTAGAGCACTGCAAGGGTTGCTCTGGTGGTCTCCACACTACATACTCCAAACTGCACCACATCCTCCCACCCTCACATTGAACATCCAGTCCTGCTGACTGGAAATCATTAGGAGGGGCACATGAGTCTCCTGCACTGAACCTGGAAGTCCTCCTTCCCACCAAAAATTTGTTTCTGTGACTATCATAGTCATCTTGTTCCACTGAAACAAACACCTCTCCCTTTTCATCAGACCTTTATCTCTAGAGTCAACGACTATTAACAAAGTCAAGTTCCCTGCCTTAGGGAGCCCAGAGTTTAGCACCCACTGCTGAACAAATTCCATTAGACCTGTGAGGAAAGTTCCAGCATCACTGCTTTAACAAAGCAGGAAAGTCAGTCATTGTGCATTCAGGTGGATGGGAAAAGAAACTAACCTTTAGTCTCCACAGTTGGAAAAGACAATTCACTTGGTGCAATCCAGTACATAGTTTGCATTCAGGATGCCTGGGTTTAATTCCTGGCACTCGTACCTTCCCCAGTGCTCTCCCCTAGCACCACTAACTCCACACATACCACAGTTAGTTACTCCAGAACTGCTAGAACCCAAACTTCACAGGTAGTGGCCCAAAGCCCACCCCTGGAATCTGCATTCACTCAAAGGGCTCTCAGCGAAATGGAATTTAGAGTGGGATTTCCTGAAAAATAAGATTGCAAACCTTCCCAGAAATGCACCTAAGGGTTCGTGAGAAAATTATGTCTGTGAGGAGGCAACATAGGTTTTCTGGGTGCCTCTTGTCTCCTGGAATCTGGGTCCCCTTTCTGGAAAACTCCCCACTTGCCTCTCCCCAGGGGGTGATAAAATGGGACAGGAAAAGGCAGCAATCCAGGGGAGACAGGAGGTTGAGACAGGGTAGGGAGGGATGGGGAAGCAAAAGAGCAAAAGGAGCCCACCCCACCCCCTTCACTTGCCTTTGATCATTTGAGTAGGGGTAAACTCAAGAAGGACAATGCTAGCTCTCAAGCACTGCTGCCAAGGAGGGAAGTTCTTTACAAGGGTTAGTTATTATGACAACATGAATAATTGAACCTCCCAGATAACCCCCAAACTTCATTTGAGGCTTTCTGTTTTCTCTTCATCAGCCGCCAAATCTCTGAACGAAAAGAGCCCCCATGCTGGGTGTTGGCGCAGAAGGTAAAGGGGCTGCTGTGGGTTTACCCCTTCTCCCAGCTCCAGTCTGACAGCTCTTAGGCCTCCAAAGGCCAAGAGGAGGGCATATGAGGGAGAGGGAGGAGGGCATTACATTCATCACCCTAGCCCCCAAGATTAACTTTCTCTCTCTGCCAACTCTTAGAGTTCTCAGCACCTAGGATCTTGACAAAACATGTTCGTTCATAAAGGATGGGTACTGAGCAACCTCCCCAGCCCCCAGTCTATGCAGGGTTGCTTTGCTCTTTCTCTGCCTCACCTTCTCAGGCATTCCTTTGGATTCTACATTTGAAATTGCTCTTGAAAGTATTTTTTGTGGGGGCTGGAGTGATAGCACAGCAGGTAGGGCATTTGCCTTGTACAGGGCCGACCCAGGTTCGATTTCCAGCACCCCATATGGTCCCCTGAGCATCACCAGGAGTAATTCCTGAGTGCAGAAGCCAGGAGTAACCTCTGTGCATCACCGGGTGTGACCCAAAAAGAAAAAAAAAGAAGAAAGAAAGTATTATTTGCTTTCTGTGGTTTCCACGTTAGATTTATCTTGGTTCCAGCCTCTTTGGTCTAAACATCTATTTCTTTTGTTATTTTTGGTTTGGGGCTACATCTGGTGGTGTTCAGGGATCCCTCCTGGCAGTGTTCAGGATACCATATATAGTGCCAGGGGTCAAACAACGGTTGACTGTGTGCAAGACAAGTGCCATAAACCCCCATACTATCTCTCTAGCTCCTGGACTCTTGGCAGTTGCCTTTGTTCTCAACCCACTCTAATCCATGTTCCATGGCTCTTAACTGCTTACAGGGTAAAAGTCGTTCAAAGTCAAATTCAAAGTCGTTCCTATAGTCATTGAACCCTCCATGATCTGACCTGTGACTGTGCCCCTACATCCAACCACAGAGGTGCTAGACCTATCCTCCCTACCTCTAATCCCTTTTGCTTTATCTCCCTAACTCCCTTCTTTAGCCTCTTTTAGCCTCCTCAGCTTCCACATCCCTTTCTCCTTTTTATTTCTTTCTGCTTTTTTTCAATTGGTTTTGGGATTACACCCTGGCTCAGGGCTTACTCCTGGCTCTGCGCTCTACAACAGCAGCATTCAGCATACAATATGGGATGGCAGGGATCAAACCCAGGTTGACCGCATGTAAGACAAGCACCCTATCCTCTGTTCTACTTCTTTCTGTTTTGGAGTATATATCTGAAAATGCCCAGGGACTACTCCCAGCAGTGCCTGAGGGACATTGTAGTGCCAGAGACCAGAACTAGACTTCCCTCATACAAAGCAAGTGCATCTCCCAGTCCCTCCCCTCCTCCTTGATTGCTTGCTCCAGCACTGACTTTTGGTGTTTTGTTTTGAGCGACTACACCTGGCAGTGCTCAGAGCTTACTCTTCTTGCCCCTGCACTCAGGACTCACTCCTGGTGGTGCTCGGGTAACGCTACATGGTGCCAGGGATCAAACCTGGGCTGCTTGCATGCAAAGCAAATATCTTCCTGCTGTACTATCTCCTCAATTTTTTTGAACCATCAGGATCCCCACATCAACACAGCTCCACTATTCTTATTTTAGTGTATTGCAACCTATTTTTCACATGTCCATCTTCCCAGTTAGTCTGGAAGGCCCTCATCAGCTATCTCTGTATGCCTAGTACTAAAATAATCTTTAAAAGAGACTAGATGTTTTAGCAGCAGGCGGTCAGAGAGCCAGAGTTGTTGTAGCACAGCTAGTACCACGTGTGTCCCTGGACTGCTTCTTAAAATGCCTTTCCTTGCGGATCCACATGGATCCACATTTCACTTCATTTGGTCTTGATATCAATGCTACCTCCTCCAGGAAACATCCCCTAATCATTCTGCCTAACACAGCACCTACCCTCCCCACTTTCTCACTTATCTACTGACATCTACTGCTTCATTTTACCCCGAGAGCTCTCCTCAACACTTGGTCTATTGTATTTTAATATGTTTATTAACTTCTTTCCTGAAAAACTCTAAGGGGGCAGTGGCTTTGATAGTTGTTTGCTACCTGCATTTCCAGTGTCTGGAACTGGACCTGCTACAGGGCAGATGCTCAATATTTACACACGGAATGTGGCCAAAATGGACCTTAAATGGAAGTGCCTTGGCACCCCATTCCTTAATGCTTCCATGTTCTCTGTGCCCTGGGCCATCATTGTCTGTTACTTCTGAGCCTCTCTACTCTACCTGTTCAAAACGAGGACAAGAATGCTACTGACTAGAGAGGACCAGGGTGATAGTACAGTGGGATAGTACACTTGCCTTGCACACTATTGATCTGGGTTGAATCCCCAGCACCTTATATGAATCCCCGAGCACTGCCAAGAGTGATCTCTGAGCGTAGAGCTAGGAGTCACACCCCTGAGCATTGCCTGACGAGGTCTCAAAACCAAAAAAAAGCTGTTGGCTACAGAGACAGGTACAATTTCATACATATACTTGCCTTGTATGCAGTGCACCCAGGATTGATCCTCAGCACCAAGCCCTGTCACTGTCACTGTCACTGTCCTCCTATTGTTCATCGATTTGCTCAAGCGGGACCAGTAACATTGTGAGACTTGTTACTGTGCTTGGCTTATCGAATATGTCATGGGGGAGCTTGCCAGGCTTTGCCGTGCGGGCAAGATACTCTCAGTAGCTTGCCAGGCTCTCCGAGAGAAGCGGAGGAATCAAACTCGGGTTGGCCGTGTTGGCTGCGTACAAGGCAAACGCCCTACCCACTGTGCTATCGCTCCAGCCCAGGAGCAAACTTTAATTCAGAGCCAGGAGTAAGCCCTGAGCACTGCCAGATGTGACTTAACCTTCTCCTCCTACCAAAAATAGGGGAAGAATGGTACCCACATCGTAGATAGACATGCAACAAAATCAGGTTTGGGAAACTCTAAGAATGAGGCTTGGCACAGAAATGGCAGGTGTGCATGCTAGGTTAGCCAGAATGAATGGCCAGACCAATGCTTCTTGCCTCTCTGAGCCTTCTGAGAAGCCACCATGATCAAGTCATGATTCTTGTGCTGAGGTGAGGTGGGGGAAGCGCAGTTCTTACCTGCCACAGTTGTAGAGGTCACAGCAGAAGCAGGTATTTCCCCGAATGCGAGGAGTGCAGAACTCACGGCTCAGATGAGGGCAGTTCACCTGGGGGCACACAACAGCAGGAGATGAGCCTTTCTGGAAGGGCAGGGGCTGGCAGGGAGTCTGATGAAGTGGTCCCTGAGGCCATCTCTGGGGGGAGCGACTTGAAGCTAGCCCTCACCACGGTTCCCAACCCCCCTTTCTGAAGGGTGGTGATGGCAAGGGGGAAGCACAGATGGAAGGATGCACATGGAGCCCAGAGGGAGGGGACGAAACAAAGCTGCAGTAATAGGGGAAGCAGGGCACAAGAGGACAGAAGATGGGCTAGGAAGGAAAACAGGAGGACCATGACATGCACACTGAAGTACAATAGTACCTCTTTAGCTGCCTGGGTAAGGTTCTTCATAACCCTCGCCGAAGGAGAATTTTTGGTTGAGGAACTTATGACCTTATGTAGGAAAAATAGGGTTAGGGGGACCAGAATTACAAGTGAACCTAAAGGCAGTCATTATTCATATTTTTTATTAAATTTTTTTAATAGTTACTGGGCCTGCTCGAGCAAATCGATGAACAATGGGAGGACCGTGACCGTGACCGAGTGAGACATCATGAGGTACAGTTGCAGACTTAGACATTTTTGTGCTTGGGTTTCAATTATACAATGATCAAATACCCATCCCTCCACCAGTGCCCATTTCCCATATTTTTATAGTTCCCCAAGATAATACAAGAGAGCGAGAACCCTGAAATCGAGAAAAGACTAATGACATTTCACACAACTTGACTTGGCCCCAAGTGTTCCACATTCATTTCTGTTTAACCATCTCTCATGGGGAAGGAATTTGCCAAGTTCTCTTCACGCCCCCAACCTCACCCCCACCTGAATGAAAGGCTTTTTCTGGTTATTTGTTTATTTATTTATTTATGGGTTTTGTGCCACACTCAGCGATGTTCAGGGCTACGACTGGCTCTGTGCTCAGGGATCACTTCTAGTGGGACCTGGAGGACCGTATAGGATGCAGGAGATTAAACCCAGGTTCAGCTCCATGCACGGCAAGTACCTTACCCACTGTATGTCTCCAGCCCTGTGCTTGTCGGGTACTTCTTGCTGCATAATAATGAAGATCAGTGGTGACCAGGATTTTTATTCCATGGTGGGTCCTTCGTGACTTTGTGCGTTGCCTATCTGATAGGCTGTTGGCACATACATATTTTGGCTCCTCTTTTCTCATCGAGGAATAGTTAGAAATATGGGAAATGTGTAATTGGGAAAAGGAAATGTTGGGGAGGGAGTAGCAAATAGATGGGAAAGCCAGAATGGAACATTTTGTCTTGATGCCTTGGGAGCAAGACCCTGGCTTCAAATTCCTACAAAAGGATTCCCAAAAGCTGTAAGATGAGGACTCATTCTCCAGTTTGTTCTTCCTTTGTTTAGGTTTATAGGTAAGAGGAGATGGGCCTCAGGAGAACAAGCCTGGAGGGAATTGATTGTCCCACCTATGGACAATGGAAGCCACCTCTCTGCAACCCACCCATTCTTCCCTGTGTTTTTCCATATGACCCTGTTCTGGTAGGCCAGAGACAGTACAGGGGGAATGTACTTGCCTCGAAAGTATTTTACCCCAGTTGTATTACCAGCACCACCGAGGGTCTCCCCAAGCACCGTTAGGAATCACTTCTGAGCAGAGAGCCAGGAATAGCCCCTGAACTCTGCTGAATGCCTAAACACCTCCCAAATCCCCTTTTATGGCCTTCAGACAAGACAGTTGCTCGAAGAATACCATCTTCTAACCTGTTAGTGTGAAAAAGTAAAAGATCCTGCTTGGCTTAAGTTAACAAGCCTTGCCCACCATGTATGCTCTGTAAAACAGCTTTCCCTGAAATTGGACAAGGGAGTCACCATTTTTCATCTGCCTGCCTCCCCTTTCTCACAATCACAGGTCTTTTTTCCAAACTCTTCTTGGGATGGTGGGAGATGATTTTCCTTTTGAGGGCAACAAAATACCCACTGGCCAAGATCTCTTAGCAGCACACAGTAGAGGGACAGGAACAATAGTACAGTAAGCAGGGGTTTTGCTTTGCACATTGCTGATTTGTATTCAGTCTTTGGCAGCCCATATGGTCCCCTGAGCCCTGCCAGGAGTGATCCCTGAGTGCAGAGCCAGGAGTAAGCCCTGAGCACTGCCAATGTGGCCCAAAACAAAACAAACAAAAAAAACCCGAAAAAAATTGAAAACAGATACAGTCCTGCCTCTGCAGAGCTTCAAAGCTAAGTGTCTCAGTGACTCTGATTTGTCCTTCTGACCCCTCCTGCATATAGACTCTGATTCCCTAATCCCAGCCTTGGGGCTTGGTGAGTCTCTTGCTGTTCTTGCAGCTGGTAACTAATTCCAAGCAACTGAGATACCAGCCATAGAGACCAGCAAGGGGCCTTATGACCTCTAAACCCTCACTGATCCCTCTTGGGATCCAAGCCAGGCAGTGAGGAACTGGGCTCAGAGGGACAACCTGTGGCCACAGAATAAAGTAAATCAGATTAGACTGCAGAAAGCTCTGACCTAGGACCACGGGTCATTAGCACTCCTCTAACCCATTAAACAAAGCCACTCTAGATGCCAAGCAGGAAACTTTGGGCCATAAAAAAGAAGCCAAAGAGGACTGGAGTGACAGTACAGTGGATAGGTCACTTGCCTCACCCAAGGCCATCTCAGGTTTGATCCTGGTACCACGTATAGTCTCCCAGAGCCCACCAGGAGTGATTCCTGAGTGCAGACTCAGGAGTAGTAAACCCTAAGCACCACCAGGTGTGCATGCCCCCAAAACAAAAAAAATAGCAGTCAAGGAAAGAGAAGGGGACTTCAGGCAGCATAAGAGACTTCCCCACAAAGATTAAGGCATTCAGATTCCAGTTGACTCACCTCCTCAGCTTCCTTCTGGGATGTCTTGGGGACATAGTGGCACCGGTTAGCATAGAGTGGTTTCAGATCCTGGGGAAGAAAATACCATACCAAAGGAGCAGAAAATTTGAAAACTAAAGGAGCAGTGCTCTAATTGGTAATAAAACATTTTCATACATTTTCATACACACACATGCACACGTGCTCTATTGATAATAAAATATTTGGACACACACATATACACCAGAGCAGGCAGTGACTGAGGGGGTTCTTTCTGAAATTTGCCCAACTAAGGAGTCTGGAAGGTGATACTCTAAACACTGCTTTCTACAATATGGAGATCTCCCAAAAATATAAGAATAGAACTCCTATTCAACCCAGTGACACCACTGCTTGGCATCTATCCCCCAAACACAGAAACATCTATTTGAAAGGATCTCTGCATAGCTACTTCATTGCCACACTTAACACAATAACCAAGAATATGGAAACAAGCCAAATGCCCAACCACTGATGAATGGATAAAGAAGTTGTGGTATAGCTAAACAATGGAATATTATACCACTCTAAGGAAGAACAAAATCATGCAATTTGCAACAATATTGATGGAACTAAAGGATATCATGCTGTGTGAAGTCAGTCAGAGAAAAAGAAATAGGTATAGAATGATCTTTCTCATATATGGAATTTAAGGATACATAATAAGGTAGTAACACAGGGCCAAAGGCAACAGAAACAGAGGTTTGATCCACAGAACTGAGTTTGTGGGTAGGGATTTTGAAGGGAGGGGCCTTCAGGATCTTTGGAGCAATAGGCGGGCATTCTGGTAGCAGGTGTGTTTGAATGGCGTATGCATGAAACCACCATCAACGGTATTGTAAATCATAGTTTCTGAATCAATAGAGATTAAAAATAAATAGTAGAATTGCTTTAAAATGCCTTCTAGAGAGAGCAAAAGGAAATGCCTTGCTACAGAGGCAGGGTGGAATGGGGGGATGGAGTGGAGAGATGGGAGTGCTATGGGATCATTGGTGGTGGAGAATGGGCACTGGTGGAAGGATGGGTACTCGATCATTGTATAACTGAAACCCAAGCACGAAAGTTTGTGAGTCTACAACCATACCTCATGGTGTTTCACTAATAAAAAATCCAGAAACAAAAAATATATAAATAAAAAATAAATAAAATAAAATGCTTTCTATTGGGCCACTGGTAGCTAAGGAATTAGGGAACAGATTGAGAGACAGCTTTCTTCAAATTGCCTCTCTGGTTTTTAATTCTGTCTTTATTTTCATGCAAAGAGTCCCCAGGAAACATGAGTTAAAACTCTAGGTTGTTTCTCCCCAGGCTTCCAAAGGAGGGAGGTCAGCTTTGATTACCTGCGGGATAAAAGGATCACACACTGAGTGACAGGGACTCCCTGCTGTCATGGTGACCCTGCTTTCTTAAAGGAAGAGCTTGGGAAGTAACCCTCCAAGAGGGACTGGCAGCTGTGGAGTGGGATTGGTTTGGGGTGGTAGTAAGTATTTTCCCCCAACTGAACTAGGAGGCATCTTTCATGTCGTTACACAGATTAGATATAGATTGTGAACTCAAAAAATGCTTCCAGAGCCCAGATAATGCACATGGGTTTTACTGACCACTGAGTTAAGTTATTCAGCTGGCCCCACCAGCTTGCTGGGAGGGAGCTCTCAAGCTTGTGGTTCCAGATCGAAGAGATAGACAGAACCCAGTGGTGTGTGGAAGCTTGAGGGCATATAATTCCATTTACTTGCAAGGTAATGCCAAACGTCTATGAAGTGGTAAGGGCTATTGCAAAAGCAGAGTAGGATGGGACAATGGTTTGCTCATATTGATTGAGACTTTGGGCTATACCTGGATGCTTTCAGAGCTAACTCTTGGCTTTTTGCTCAATACTCACTCATGGTGATGCTAAGATGATATGTGGTGCCAGGGATTGAAATGGGATCAATCACATGCAAGGAAAATGCCTTAACTCTCATCCTATCTCTCTGACCCCTAGACAATGATTTAATGCAAACTGATCTTCCACCTTGGTTCCAAGTACCCTGGTAGATGGAACTTAATCTTGGTCCCTCCTTCCCTCCTACTCTTTGCGTGCCATTTCTAATTATCTTGGTGGCTGCTTTTTATCATACTGGTAATTTCACATTTTTGTACCGGTCTCCCAGTCTGCTAGGCCATCAAGGAATACCAAAGAACTTTCTAGAACTTTCAGCAGCTTCTACAAGACCTCTGAGCTGCCCAATGTTCTGAAAGCAGGTTTTCCCACTGGCTTGGGCTGTAGTCAGACTGGAAAGGAAGGAAAGTGCTTCGGTTTATACCTTATCCCCCCACCCAGCACGGTTGATCTCCCATGCCTGGGTGATGGGAGAAGCCACATTATGCCGCCAAAGTCCTTTTGATCTGCTTCCATAGACATCATTCGGCCCCCAACTTCCCTACCTGAAGGCTGACAAGACTAATGGCTGCCACTATTTGCCACTGGCTGCTCCTGAGGCTCTTAAGAAGAAGTGTATAGAAGTCATGGGGCGGGGGGGCGCCCACTGGAGATTCTTGGCCAACTAAGTGGTGGCTCAATGCAAGAGCCTGAGGTTGCAGTGTATTCAGTGGCCTCCAGGGCTATATCCAGCAATGCTTGGGAGACCATGTGATGCCAGGAATGGAAGCTGGGTTTTGATGCATTCTAACCACGATACTATCTTCTAGCTCCTTTTTCTGCTCTTCTCCATTGATACCTCAGAGGAGGTACAAACCCACTCAATGGAGAGGTGGGGAATGATTATTGAGGTGGAACATGACAACCTTTTTTCAGCTAAAGAATCCCAAAATCTCCAGTGAAAGGAGAGAAATGAAATTGCTTGATCGAAACATCTTCTTTGAGACAGGCCCTCTTAGAACACATCTGCCTCCAGGAGTTGAACATCCTCCTGCTAGCCCTGAGAAGTAGAGGTCTATTATGTTTGTTTGGAAGAGGAGGAGGAAATTGTGGTATCTGGATGCAAAGTGACTTTCCAGCTAGTTGTCAATTTATAAGGTGGGGAAAGGAATCTGAGATGTGGGAAGGGAATGAGGAAGAGAAGGACAAGGTACATTTCAAGGGGGTGTAAATAAAGTGGTATGGAAAGGAAGCTCCTATTCACCCAAGATAAACTACCACAATATTAAATGGCCACTGTCACAGGGTTGACTGGCTCTAAAGTGGACGAAGTGTTGGTTCTTACGTGGACCAAATATGCCTCCAGTGAATCTGGCCAATAGGGAGTAAAGAGATAATATAGGTAGAAAGCTTCTGAGCTCTGGCTTGATCCCTGAAACCACATGGTCACCTAAGATAGCACCACAGAGGGAACAATCTTTTTTGCTGAACACTATCCAGGTCTATCATGGGTACTGTATGAGTAGAAAAAAATTTCAGATTCATCAGCCTTATCCCAACCCCCTGAATCAAATATGCCACTAGACTGGAGATATGGCTCAATCATAGAGCATATACTTTGCATGTATAAGGCCCTGGGTTTTATCCCCAACACCTGTATCTATACCCACTCCCATATAATAAAAATACTTCTCTGTAGGCTACTAGCTTTGGGGAGCAGGGATGGAGGCTGTGTGGAGGGCCTGGAGTCACGCAAAGACCAAAAGGTAGCTATTACAGAACACTTTCGGGGCTGGAGAGACAGCACAGTGGCTAGGGTGTTTGCCTTACACACAGCCAACCCGGGTTCGATCCCCGGCATCCCATATGGTCCCCCGAGCACCACCAGGAGTAATTCCTGAGTGCAAAGCCAGGAGTAACCCCTGAGCACTGCTGGGTGTGACCCAAAAACAAACAAAAAGAACACATTGCCACAATAGAAACTGTTTTTCCCTCCATTTCCTTCAACTGAGGTCAGTGATTCCAATGTTGAAGCATGGCAGATAAATGCATATAGGTGAGCTTACACTTCCTCCCTACTGTGCTGACTATATATATGCACTTCAATGGGAATGTAAGAAGGTGCAGTCACTTTGGAAGACTGGCAAGTCATCAAAAGGTTAAAGAATTACCCATGAACCTTGCAAGTCTCAATGAGGTGTATACACAAGGGAAATAAAAAAGATGTCTGTACAGGAATGTTCACGGTGACATTACCATAATATTCAAAAGGCAGAAGCCACACATATATCCATGAACCAAATAGACAAGCACTACATGGAATAACCAGACTACAGAATGTTATTATTTTATAAACAGAAATGAAATATAGACACCTGTTCCAACACAAATAAATCATTACAACTAAATGAAAGAAGTCTCGTTGAAAAAGACTACATATTATATAATCCTACTGATATGAAATGTTAGTTAATATAGGGAAATCTGTTGAAGAAGGATATCAAAATTACCCAGACCAGAAAAAATGCGGGGCTAAGGAAGTTCTAGTTAATGAGTATGGCGTTTCTTTGGGGGATTGTGAAAATCTTCCCTGATGAAGAGGTTGAGAGCTTGTTCATAGCTTTTTGTGTACTAAAAACTGCCGAATTATAAATTATATAATTGGATAAAGCTTCTAAAAAGAAAATATGAGGAATGAGTGGATGAGGGGCCGGGAGGAAGCCATTTTAAAAGCTCATGATTGTCATCAAAATCTACTAGAGGTCTCTTTGACCACTAGGCCTAGGGTTGCCATGGAGACCGCCTCTTGATGAATACTGAGTATGATAATGAGGACAATCATGCCTCCCCTATAAGTATCAGGATTGTGTTGTGTCTCAAAAGAGGTCACCGATGTGCAGGCACACTGAAAAGCTACACGCACTACACAAAAGTAAGAAATTGATGCTCTTAAGGTGGCTTCTGATGACTACAAAATAGCAGGCACAGTCTGATTGCTACAAAAGGGGGTAGCGATTCGAAAGGTAATAGGCAAAGATGGTAAGAATTACTGGGTCAGGGTGACAGGATTGTGGATGCAAAAAGTTCTTGATGTCTCACTTGCATGGGAGGCAAGGGCTTGGAGCCACACCTGTGGTGCTCCGGGGACTCTCCCTGACTCTGCGCTCAATTTCTACTGTGACCCCCGGCAGTGCTTGGAGACCATATGTGGTACCTTAGACTGAACAAGGCAAACGTGCAAGGCAAATGCTTTGTACCTGGCACAATCTCTTCAGTACTCTCACTTGCATTTTAAGAAGAAAAAGATGACTGCTAAAATCAGAAGGGATATCTCTCCTACAGGGGCCAACACTGATATTCCTGACACTAAAAGAAAACTGGAGAAAAAAGGTTCTCTCCCTTCTCTTATATTCCCCTGCCCAGAAATGATGTCCTGAGATACCGGTGAAGTGACGACCAGGGTGGCAGCTTCAGTCATGTGAGTCTCTCGTATGGCAAATTGACTCTAAGGTGCGGGAGAAGGAGCCAAGAACAACTTAGAACTGAAATATTAAGGTCACAAGTGATACTTCCCCCGATCCCAACCAGACCCATGACCTCGGCTCAGGATGACCTGCATTATTAGCCAGTGACTGGAAAGGAATAACATCTCATTTGCTTCACAGACTATTCTGATAATACAATTTTGCTCAAATGCAACTGTCTTAGTAAACCTGTCTAAGTTGTTTACTTAGACAGGTTGTCTAAGTTGTTTGCGGAGTGTCTTTATTTTCCATGCTGATTCCATTGACGCAGGGGGTTGGTTGGGAGGAATCAGTATTTGAGTTTGCTGGGGCACTCAGCAAGCTGTTGTAACTTGCTCTAGACTTAGGTTTGTAGCCCAGGTCAATATTCTCTAGGACTGGGGGGGGGGACAGCCAACCCAGGTTCAATCCCCCACATCCCATATGATCCCCCGACCACTGCCAGGAGTAATTCCTGAGTTCAGAGCCAGGAGTGACCCCTGAGCATCACCAGATGCATCCCTAAAAAAACAAAACATATTCTCTGGGACTTAGGAACTTTGATATTTGGGGGCCCTTTATGCTATTCAAATAATTTTTAAAACTAGATTGATTTCTCCCTCATGACCGTGCTTGTATCAAGACAAATGTACCTGAATTTGCTTTTTAGACTAAAACTTGTTTGGCCTAAAGGTTAATGGTGTTTTTTCCGATATTTTTTCGTGGGGATGTGTGCAGAGTGGGTACACCAAGGTTTGGCCACATGCAAGGCAAGTGCCTTAACCCCTATATTATCTCTCTTGCCCTTTTTGTTGTTTGCTTCTGATTTGCTTACGGGAATCCTTGGCTGGGTCATGGATGGGTCATGGATGGGCACTATGCTTATTGTGCCTCAGGGATCAGTTGACCCGAGGCCACATGTTTGGAATTTTAGGAAACAGAAAGCATTTAAAGAGGTATAAGGGTTCCTGTGGAGTGCCGCAGAGAAAGCCCCAAATCCCAGACTTTCCCCAAACACAAGCACAGGCTTGGGATTCAGGAATAAATGGCCTTTGCCTGAAGTATCATTTTTACAAAGGATGGAGGATTTGGCCCCTGAATTCCAGAACTGGGGTCTGAAGAGAAGCTTCTAGCCACCCTGCCACCCCTCCACTACTCTCCAATCACTGCTGCAGGCCTCGTTCCTGCAGCTAAGAAAGAGAATCTCTCCCCCTGCTCAGTCTTGTTGCGGAATGGAGGGCAAGGGTCTGCTGTGGAAAGCTTGCAGGCTGGCTGGTCACTTTCTGCTGCTCTCTCTCAGCCTTCTCGTGCCCAATTCCAGGCTATTGTCCGGGACCCCTGTTCTCTTGTTTTTTGCCTTCCAAAGCTTACTTATGGCTCTGCCACATTTGGAAAGCCTGCTCTGTGACCTGGAGTCTAAGAGAAACCCGTATGACACATCAAGGTCACATACCTGGCTTAGACACACCAGGTAGGTGTGTAGGTGTGCACACTTAGTACGTGTGCACCTGTCCCCTACTGTGTTCATTTGGACTGTTAGCGCCTGAAGGCACACATCCTGTACACATGCTCACCCTCACGTATTCCCCCACCACATTTAGCTCCCCCCCAGCACAAGCTCACTGAACCTTCACACATTTCCTTTCACTCAAGATACTCACAATGTGTCGGGCAGCAAAGACTCCATCCACGATAGCGCAACAAAAGGCCGCAATCACGCCAAAGCTGATGAAGACGATAGACGCCACGAGCTGCGCGTGGGGGAGAGGGGAAACACAGCAACGGTTAGCTTTCTCCTCAAGTGGCTTTTGGGGCCTAGGCTGTGGCCCAACAGATCCCTGGCCTACCACCCCAGGATAATGCTCTTTTCAGTCATGAGGGAAGAGTGTAAGGGGGAGAGGACAGATACCTGGGGTATGGGGACTCAGAGAGAGGAAATGGTATGCTCAGGGTCACCATCTAGTCTATGCAAATGTCCGGTGGTCCTAACACTTAGTTCAATATTCTTCCTACCCTTAAGAGTGGTCCCAGGGCAGTGGCAGCTGATGATGATGGAGGGGACTTGGGGAGAGCAGGAGGGGGCTTAGCAGGCCACAGAAGCACTTCCCCATCCCCCCAATTGTTTGGTTTTTAGGCCAAGCTAAGGAAGACACTCTCAGAGCACCCCGCCCCCCCAAAAAAGGAAGAGCAGGCACACTGGTATGCAGTGTGCTGTCTACAGAAGGAATTCCACTGTGGGCCTCTTATCTTCCCACCCTCGGAAAAAAAGTCTCAGCTTCACGGTTATGAACTATAAAGGTAAAGGTAAAGGTAAAGGCCCTCCCATTGATCGTCGATTTGCTCGAGCGGGCCCAGTAATGTCTCCATTGGAGACTTTGTTGTTACTGTGTCTGGCATATCGAATACTCTCGGTAGCTTGCCGGGCTCTCCGAGAGGGGCGGAGGAATCGAACTCGGGTCGGCCATGTTGGCTGCTTGTAAGGCGAACGCCCTACCCGCTGTGCTATCGCTCCAGACCATGAACTATAATGTCTTATTTTGGACAGGGGGAATCTCTGGAGGTATTCAAGGGCCACCAATACCATAGCAGAGATGGGAGTTGAACTACAGGCATTGCACATACTAGCTATGACCTCCACCTCTTGAACTATCTTCCGACACCCCAACCTCCATAGGCTCTTTTTTGGGGGGTGGGGGATGCTGGATCCTTCCCGGTGGTATCAGGGTTCACACCTGGCTCTGCATTCAAGGATCACTCCTGGTGGGCTTGGGAGACCATATGGAGTACAAGGGATCGAATCTGGGTCAGCCACATAGAAGGCAAGTGCCCTGCCCACTGTACTATCACTTAGGTTGTTGTGTGTGTGGGGGGGTGTTCCCAGTGGTGTTAGGGGCCATCAGGGCTACACCAAGCTGTGCTCAGTAGGCCATGCAGAGTTGGGGGTCTAATCTAGGGCTCTGTGCATGCCAGACATGCACTCCAGCCATTTGAAGTATCTACTTGACCCCATCCTCCTATTTTTCTTACTCTGCAGGGGCCTCTCAAGCAGTGCTTAGGGGCTCTGCAGGCCACCCCCAGTTGTGCAGGCCTTCTGGTTTGGTCTTGAAGTTCATTTCTCATAGTACCAGGGGCTTCTTGGGATGCTGAGAGCCATGAAGCGCCAAGAATCAAACTAGGGCTCTAGAGCATACAAGGCATACATTCCGGCCCCTACTCTGTGTGTGTGTTGCTAGGGATCAAACCCAGCAAGCCACATGCTTTACTGTTGAGCCATATCTCCAGTCAAACTCACTATTTTTTAATGGAGCATCACCAAAGTACTTTTGTACCAAGATTTATTTTAAAAATTAGAATCTGGTAGAAACCTCACGATACTTTAATTCTCTTGCTAACTACACAAAACTTGCTAGTTTTGAAAGGGAGAGTCTCCCAAGCAGTGTTTCATGGTTCTAGGGGCCTCACCTGGCACAATGGAGCCTAATTGTGCAGACTGGAAGAACAGTTCAATGCTTGGGCCGGACAATGCAGTACTATTTAGGATCAGTGGTGTTGGGTGTCACCAGAGCCACACCTCATAGTGCTCAGAGATCATATGGTGCCAAGGATCACCCTCGGAGTCTACTACCTGCCAGGCATATGCTCTACCCCTTTGTCCGATCTCCTGCTTCCAGCTTCTATTTTTAGTTCCTGTGTAACTGGGGTCTCAAGGAAGAGAAGTGAGGTGCTCAACATCACCATCTATGTAAGAGATGGTGCCATTTTTAGTTCAATGTTCTTCCCACTCTTTAAATAGCAACACAATGGTGAGTAGTGCCTGACAGAAACTGGCATGGTTTTGAAGCCTCAAACAATCTAACGTGGCTTTCTGCATCATTGAACACGCAGAACATTCAACCGATTGAGACTGAAATATCAAAGACATTCTGCCAGGTTGATGTCTCTGAAAGTGATCAATTGTGTGGCTGCTATGAAATATTTCAAGTACAAAAATGGTCTTCATGCACTCAGTGTTTTTCCACTATTTTTTCTGACCCTGGTTCCCTTCCAAACTTGCTTCTGGGGCCAGAGCAACGTTGTAGCTGGTAGAGCTCCTGCCTTGCACACAGCCAACCCAGGTTCCAACACCACATACAGTCCCCAGAATTCCTCCAGGAGTGATTCCTCAGCACAGAGCCCGGAGTAATCCCTGAACACAGCCAAATGTGACCCAAAAACCAGCCCCCCAAATTATGTACTTCCAGTATACCCACTTGCATGTGCTACCAGTTGGCCCCTTAGTCTCATGCATCCCCATGGATATGAATTTACATCTGCTCCCCTGGGAATATCCTGGGGGCCTATTGGGGACTATAAGGCCCTCAATAGGCTATTATTGCTATTACCCCAATATGGAGCTAGGTCAAGGGTAGAGATGGTTACCACTATATCACCCACAGGTCAGCGACCATCTGCTCTTGCTAATCCTCAGAACTATATACTCAGTGTTATTATTCTTGAGTTGCTTGGGGTTAAAAGGAGGAGGAAAAGAACATGGCACTATGTTGCTTTCCAAAGAGAAGGAGGAGGGGGCTGGAGCAATAGCACAGCAGGTAAGGCATTTACCTTGCACGTGGCCGACCCGGGTTCGATTCCCAGCATTCCATATGATCCCCAAGCACCACCAGGAGTAATTCCTGAGTGCAAAGTCAGGAACAACCCCTGAGCATTGCTGGGTGTGACCAAAACCCTTCCCAAAAAAACCCAAAGAGAAGAAGGAAATCACAATTAAGGCACCTAAAGGTTCTCCCACTTCAACAGGCTAGGAGGGGCAATATCTTTCCTCCAGGAGATTTTTTCTGAAACCTCTTGCCATAAGTCTCACTTCACAGCCCTACAGAGGATTGCTAAATAATGGATGAACCATGTCATAAAATTGGCATTATTAGCTATGCTCTGATCAGCTCCACAATTAAAACTCCCCGGTTATTTTTGAATAATTGAAGCCCAAAATGCAAATGCAACTTGCAGAAGGGAAATCCAGGTGAAATAGAAGAAGAGAACTATTAGAAGTCCCCTGACAGCAATTTCCCACATTGCTGGGGAGAACATATGGCTAGAGTTCTCTGTCCCTGGAGCTATTATGTTATGTGATTAAACCTGCTGTTAAATAGGCCCCATTAGCTAAGTCTGGATGCCACAGAGACTTGTACTCTGAGAGCCTCCTCGATCCATCATCTAACACTCACCGGGCTTCTTGATTTACAATCCTGTAAAACTGCAAGATGAGGGGCGTGAGAGATATAGTACAGGGGTTAATGTACATCCTTACATGCAGCCGACCCAGATTCGATGTCCAGCACCACCTCCTGAGCATCATAGGGTCCATCTCTGGAGGCCTCTGAACACTGTCAGGGTGGCTGGAGTCATCCCCAGCACTGCAGGACCCTAGCACCGACCCACTGGGCTAGCTTAGTTGAGAATTGTTGAGTGGGGAGGGCATGGGGAGAACAAAATCCCTAAGCACTGCTTGGAAGATCCCCCCAAAATAGTCTGCAATATATTAGCCATTCGTTCTGCACCCTTCCCCTTGCTCTCTAGGAAACAAACTGAACCAAGAAAATATGCCTGCTTGCCTACGGGGCAGGAGAGAAATCCAAAGGGCCTGTGTGCAAGCTTTGCTTGCTGGAGTCATGGAGCCCCCACGTAAAGGAGTGGTGCTCAACCCTAGCACCATCCAGGGATGGCCCATAAACCAAAACCAAGCCCCCAAACCTCTCAAACCACTTCTCCGGGTCCTCATTAAGACACAGAACTCTCTACACTTTTCCCTCAGACTCCCTTGTAGTCTTACAATAATAGTTTGCTTGGAACATGGGTAAAGGTACAACTTTAGGTTGGCTTCTTGCTTCTCTCTTGTCTTTGATGGGACCAAGTCCATATATTCTCTTAATCCAAGTTCCCTAAATTGTAATCTTTTAAAAGGCAGGAACCCTCTGAAAAAAATCCCCCAGATATTATGCCCCAGAGACAATGAGGGGAGGCCCAGGGCTGCAGTCACAGAAATCCTTGAAGCAAAGCTATTCTAGATGAGGGAAGTAGCCCTACTGAAGAAGTAAGAGCACTCTTTTGGGAGCAAGGAGGAAAGGAAGGGCAAGACCCAGATTATTCTAGTCATGTGATGTAAAGAGACTAGCCTGGCCACGGAGAGGACATCAAGGCCAGGAGAATAAGCTCCCTGCCACAGACTAACTGCAAAACAAGTGTCCTTGGCTTACCTTACCAGCCAAAGTCAAGTGATTGTTTCTTTCTTTTTTTTTTTTTGCTTTTTGGGTCACACCCGGCGATGCCCAGGGGTTACTCCTGGCTCTGCACTCAGGAATCACTCCTGGTAGTGCTCAGGGGACCATCTGGGATGCTGGGAATCGAATCCGGGTCAGCCGCGTGCAAGGCAAATGCTCTACCCGCTGTGCTATCGCTCCAGCTCCCAGTGATTATTTCTTTTCCATCCCAATTTGAGCCTCTTGTAGAAATGTATTACTTCTCACTATCTATGTGGAGCTTTTCCCCGAGGTAGACAATGAACCTATAGCAAAGAAAACTTACCATCTGGCGTTTGTTTTCAATCAGGTTTGAGCCAATGATTCCAAGAAATGAACCAAAGCCGAGCTGCAAAACAACAAGGTATAGATAATACATGGGAATCTGGTCAGCCTAACGGAATGATTGTTCCGGCTCCTGAACTGGATTCAAGAACAAGGGAAGTAACTGGGGCTGAGATGCTAATTCCCCTTGCAGTTGTTCTTTACACAAACACAGTATGTACAAAGTATTTCTTCCACCATTTGAAAAATTTTCCCCTGTGAAAAGAATCACACCTAGAGAAATAAATATCAGAAGAGAGCCAAGATCCAGACCCCAAAGTCACCAATCCAGCAAAAAGTTTAACTTCAATTCTATCAACCTATTTAAAATTTTAGAATTCCTGGAGCACAGCTGCGTGATATATCTCATTCTCTAAGCCACTGATGTACCTAGAGTAGTACACCACATTTGATGGGGTGTAAAGTAGAAGGCAACCAATCTCGATCAAGAAAAATATTAGCACACAAGGCCCAACCTATAATAACATGTCAGTAATCTCTTATACAAGAGCTTAATATCTCCTGGGTGAGATACAACAATCTTCACACACTTTCCTCTAAGGAAAGTTTTTGGGATTATTTTTAGCCAATTACTCATAACAAGCAAGACAAAATAAATTATTTAGGATCTGCCCTTGGGGCACGCTTGGGTGGTGGTGGAGAAATTTGAAATAATGGTGGTGGGAAGGTGAAATGATGGTGGGATTGGTGTTGGAATATTGAATGTAATAAATTATTGTGAACAGCTCTTTAAAAATAAGAATAATCATACCTAAAATGTACCTCACATACCCGAAAACTGAAAGTAAAGGTCAACCATAGCTTTTGAGAGCCTGCATATTTCCATTTCAATATCCATTACCTAGCATCTGCCTGGTGAGTCATTAGGAGACACAGAATGGTAAAAAAAGCACACATTAAATTCTGATTTAATCGTTCTTTTTCTTTTTTTTTTCTGAAAAGAGACTTTGCAGTCTGAGGCGTAGATTACAAAATAGAGGTTTAAAAGGGCCATTTTGGATGCATCTGGCACACTAATCAAACCCAGGAAGTGCTTTAGAAATCAGTAAACACCTTAACCTAGACTTTTAGGAAAAAGGTTTTTTTTTTTTTTTTGAAAGCCTGTATTTGTGGTCAGCCCCCGCTGCAATTTACGTTAGCACTTATTCACCTCTTCTTTCAGCTCTGCTGCATTTATGGACAGAAAGCATTCATTAAAGAGTGAGCAGAAATGGCAGTGTAAAACCCTGCAAAACAATTTCCTTATCTAAGTGGCTGGGATGATGGCTCCATGGAGCTGCTACCACTTTCCTCTCCGATTTGCTAATAAGTGGACTTGGTCTGCCAGGCTCAGCTGAACATGATTGCTAACTGATGGCTGTTGATGGGGAGGAAAATGGAAGAAGTAAAAAGTGGTGAGAATGGACCAATAAATCTTAACACTGGTTCAGGGCTGTAGTTACATTTGCTTCAGTCTCGCTCATTGCCTGGGTTTACTTCTGCAGCCTTACCTTGGCCCACTAGGGCTTCTATTTCAATCTGAGACACCCACTCCAACTCCCCAGTTTTATACTTAGATTTAGAAGCTGATAGACTCAACAGCTGGGCTGAACCTTGGTAATACAAAGTGTGTGGTTGCATCCGAAACCCATAAATAAAAGAGAAAAAAAGAATGCTAGTTTCTGGGATTGAGTTATTCTGCTGGGCCATTCATCTAGCTAACAACAGATGAGATGCTGAAGTTTGCAAGAGAGGAATTGTGCAGGGATGGGGGTCTTCAGTTCCAACTCTGCCACCCATATGGTCCTCTGAGCCTGCCAGAGTTGATCCCTGAGCACTTCTGGGTGTGCCACCCCCAACCAAACTATTCTTTTTAAATAATGTGTGCATAGTTGGTCCGAAGGATGTGAGTTATTGTTAAACTGAAAAAATAATGTGCACAAGGAATATTCTGGTTTCTAAGGCCATCTGAGATTGTACCTCTAACATCTTCACTCAACAGTTAAGCCAGGCCTGGCTCCACTAAAATTAGCTGTCATAAATAATACGAATCACAACCTGATTTTCAGATTAGGCTGACTTCTTTTTTCCAATACCAGATATCAAACAGAGGACTTCACTTGACTTCTAACCTCAGAATTACCAATTATTTCTCTGTGACCTTGAGCAAACAAATTGCTCTCTCCAAGTGTCCATTTACTTATATGGAAAATGGGAAGTACAATAGTGAATATCTATTTAAAAATTGTCTTTTTAATTTAGTTGTTTCTTTTGGGGGGAGTCATAACTGGCAATGCACAGGGGTTAATCCTGGTTCATGCACTCAGGAATTACTCCTGGCGGTGCTCGGGGGACCATGTGGGATGCTGGGAATCGAACCCGGGTCGGCCATGTGCAAGGTAAACGTCCTATCCCCTGTGTTATCGCTCCAGCCCCTTGGTTGTTTCCTTTTAAAAAGAATTTTTTAAAAATTTTCCATTGAGGTATAACAATTTGCAATAGCATTGAAGCCGTTTATTTTATAGTTGCACAGTACTATACCAATCCTTCCACTAGTGTTTCAAAATCCCCCCACACATACCAATTCCCACATGGTTCCCATGTCCCAGCTGTGGTTTTGGCTTTTGGAGGGGAGGGGGGAGGAGGGAGCAGGTAATTGGGCTACATCTGGAGTGCTGGAGTGACCCCTGGTGGTGTTAGTGATGAACTGCAGTTAGCCATGTGCAAGGCTTGCTCCTTGTACTCTCTGACAATTTTAAGAATGGTAATGGAAAACCAGGGAAAGAGTTTTCTGGCAGTGTTTTGAACGGTATGCTAGGCAGATTTGATGAGGATTATAAATTTATTGCAGGTTCTCTAACATATCAAGACTCATGCCCCATCTTTGAACTGTCCTTACTGAACGAGGAACGTAACATTTTCCAATGATATTTTATCTTAGAAACATTTCATCACAAGGTAAGCAAAATTTCTACCTAACTCACAAGAAATCACAATATCCCACTTCCCAAGGCTCTATTTCCTGAACATTCAAGTCAGTCTCAGCTCCACTGGCATGATCAAAGTCTTCCAATGTGAAGCTGAAGTCACACTGAGCTAGTGAAGGTTTCAGAGTGTTTGATTCTTTTTAATTATCTATCCCCGTTCGTCTCTCTCCCAGTATTCCACAGAAACTCAGATAGACTTTTTAGTGAGTGGAACCGCCCAGGAAATGGGGTTGAAACTACTGGCTGTTGTTCTGAAAGAAAAATTCAGGCTGGATTGAGTCCTAACAGCGCATCAGCTGGGGAAAATGAAAACTTTACGTGCTGATTATAAGGTGTCCAACTCCATCTTGTGGGTTGCTTGGGAAACACATTTAGAGACTTGAAGCTCTTCGATCAAAGGTTGGAGGAGGCTCTCTGCCTGCATTTTCAGTTTCACTGGACATCCAGGAAATTAAAAAAATAAGGCCTCCCATAATAAGAAGACCAACGGACCTTGTCTGTAATTAGAATATGTGTTGAATATTGGGAAAATTTAAATTCCTGAACCTGTCTGTGTTTGTCTATTTCCATTTTTTAAAAATATGACAGTTCTGACAGTGTGATGAATATACCTCTCTATATTTTGGGAAGGGTATAATCTGATAATTGGCCCCTGACTTGTCTATTTTGAAAAAAAATGGGTTTGGGCTTTGAAGCCACACCTGGAGGTGCTTGGGAATACTCTCAGTGTGGTACTAGGACTGCTTCTGGCAGTGCTTGAACGATCATGTGATGAATTGATCCCCCTGGGCAGAGAGCTATCTTGCTGGCCCTCTTTAGAAATTTAAAATGCTGAGGTATTGTTAACACATTTAAGCAGGGTTCCAAAAGGGCACTGTCCGAGATCAGTACCAGGAGGATTACTCCATAGCTTAGAGGCCAACCGGGCATTCTAGGGGAAAGGGCAGCTCAGATAGAGAAGGAAGCACCAAATAAAGGGGGTTTGGAGGATCCTCCCAGGAGGGAAGATGCATGTCGAAAGTAGACTATGGACTGAACATGATTGCCACTCAATGCCTCTTTTGCAGACCACAACACCCAAATTGAGAGAGAGAACAAAAGGAAATGCCCTGCCACAGAGGCAAGGTGGGATGGGGGGGATGGGTGTGGGAGGGATACTGGGATCCATGGTGGTGGAAAATGGGCACTGATGGAGGGATGGGTATTTGATCATTGTATAATCGAAACCCAAGCACAAAAATTTGTAGATCTACAACTGTACCTCATGGTGTTTCACTAATAAGAAAAAAGGAAAAAAAAAAGGGCACTGTCCTCGTTGTTCATCGACTTGCTTGAGCGGGCACCAGTAATGTCTCCATTGTGAGACTTGTTGTTACTGTTTTTGGCATATCGAATACGTCACGGGGAGCTTGCCAGGTTCTGCCATGAGGGCGCAGAGTGATACTCTCTTGCCGGCTCTCCGAGAGGGATGAAGGAATCGAACTCGGGTCGGCCTCATACAAGGCAAATGCCCTACCCACTTTGCTATCGCTCCAAAAAGGGCATAAATTCAAATAATCTGATTTGTTTCCACAGTTCTAGATAACCATAGTTGTGTCCACTAGTAATTTCTTTTCCAAATGATCAATTAATGCAGAACCTTAAAATGTTTTGCCAAGCTCACTCTTGTTTTATTACTAAGCCTACTTGTGTTTTAGTTTTCAGCTGGTTGCTGAATTAGATTCCTCTGGGGTGTTCATTAAAATGCATGTTCAGGGCTAGAGAGATAGTACAGAAGATAGGTTGTTTACCTTGCATGCAATTTGATCGAAGGCAACTTACAGCTCCTTGAGCACTGCCAGGAGCAGTCCCTGAGCACAGAGCAAGGAGTAAGCCCTGAGCACTGCAGGATGTGGCATGAAAGTCAAAATAAATTAATTAAATTAAAAGCATGGTCAGAAAGAGAGAGAGAGTACAGTGGTGAAGGCACTTGCCTTGCATGCAGCTGATCCTGGCTCAATTCAAGCACTGCCAGAAGTGACCCCTAAAAGGAGTCATAAATAACCCCTGAACACCACTGAGTGTGGTACCAATACAAATAAAAATGCAGGTTCAGCACGTATGGCTTTTCCAATCACAGGTTAACGTGGTGAGAAAATCTGAGTTCCTGACTCCCACAGCCATACCAAATCAGAAATTTCTAGGTATGGGGGGTGGCGCACCCCATTTTCCCTCAGGCTCACCATGTCATTCTTATGCACACACAAGTGGTGAATCCCTGGCTTAATTAACATTACATAGAGCTCCCTCATCGCCAAACTACTGGATTGGTGCCGAGCAGCCCATTTGTCATCAATCTGGGCTCTGAAGAATTGTTTGTAACAACACAGTCTGACCTATATACTCAAACGGATTTTCCGGTATTTCAAATTGTCAATCCCCCTTTCCTTTCTAGAATTAAAATCCATTTTAAAGGGAAAATCACGAGAACTTTATGGGCATGTTTCAAAAGGTTGAAGCACAAGGTACATTATTGTTAGTCAGGGATGGCTCACCTCGGAACATTTCCATGTTAGAATCCTGTGAAACACACACACACACACACACACACACACACACACACACACACACACACTAATTTCCTGTGGTAGCGGAACATCAGGTACTCGAATAACAACCACCCGCCCACCTGCTTTTGTTACTGTAATCCAACCACTCCACCCACAATCAGCTATTCTACAAAGAAGGTTCATAGTCTTCACTCACAAACAGGGATTCCAACTCTGAAATGATATGCCAAATCGCTACCCCCACCCATGGAGAGTCTGGCGCTTAGCTTGAGCAAGCTTAGCTTGAGCATTTTGCTCGGAAGTCAGAACAATCTGACTACTCTAAGCACAGCAAGTAACCTGTCTTTTCCAACCTACCAAAATGCAATCTTAACCCCCATTCTCCCCCTCCCCTCCTTTACTTGTGTTTAAAAATTAAACCTAATTCTGCTGATGATGGGTTTTCCAGACGGGCCACAAGAAGTGGACGGGGTAACTTGTCACATCACATGTTTAACAGAGAAGACACCCCACGGTGTCTGTGGGACACTTGTCTTTAGCTGGGACAATTCTGCTCACCCACAAGCTGGAAGGAAATACCGAAAGCCTACAGGCAGCTTTGCTCTTCTCCCACCCCAGGAGGTGCAACGCTGTCTGCTCTGGCCCTTGCTTAGCTCTGGCTGATGAGCCGGCTGACAACACAGCCAGTGACCGAGGCAACAGGCGTCAGGCTTGGTCACTCACAGCACTGGCTTGTGAAAGGCATCTATCTTTAATCCCTTTTCCTCCCTCGGTTTCGCTCCAAGCCCCCACCTTTCTCAGAGCAAGGCAGGGATGGCGTGGGTGGGGGAACAAGGGGAAAAGAAAGACAGTAAGAAACAACAACGGAAGACAGTAAGAAACAACAACAACAACAACGGGGCTGGAGCGATAGCACAGCGGGTAGGGCGTCTGCTTTGCACGTGGCCGACTGGGTTCCATTCCCAGCATCTCATATGGTCCCCTGAGCACTGCCAGGAGTAATTCCTGAGTGCAGAGCCAAGAGTAACCTCTGTGCATCGCTGGGTGTGACCCAAAAAGCAAAAAAAAAAAAAAACCACCAACAACTATATCTGTCTGACTTCTCTGCAGTCCTAAATAGAAAAATCAAAACCCATTGGGAAAAACCCACTGGGAAAATTCTCGCAATGGCAAATGAGCTGCGTTCCTGATATTCAAAAGAGGAATAGAACTGTTAAATTCTGTGCAGAATTTAAAATGAAACAGCAGAATTACGTTAAGTTTTGAGGTACGGTGGAGTTCGACATCAGGTTGTGTAACTCCAAGTTTTTGCCCCCAGGTTTCTTGAGGGATCATTGAGAAGGAAAACATAGTATGTCTTTCAAGTATAGACTAGGCCGGCCCTCTCCAAAGTAGACAGAGTGCCCCTCCAGGTGTGTGGGGGTAGTAAACCAATCTATAGAGGTCTGAAAATCGATGATTCGAGCGCTCTGCTTCCCATTTCTTGTGTCTTTAAAAACGGAGAAAAGAAAGTCCTGAGATTCACGGTTAAATGATTGTCAGGGGCGCCCTCTGATGGCGTAAATATCAGACAACAAGGTGAGTTACCCTTTGGGAGGAGGGCAAGTTCCAGGCAGCAAAGGGCTGAGAGTGGGGCATTTTCCGGGTGCCCGGATGGTATGATCTATTTTTAACTAATCTAGTCCCGACCCGATGGACAAGTGGTTTGGAACGATGCCTGTTGAGAAACCACGAAGTGAAGATGACCCTAAGGCTGTAAACACCAGTGAGCAACAAGGAAACGGAGCAGTTGCTCCAGTGAGCCACCGAGGGAGATTGCCATTAAAAACAAACAAACAAACAATGAAACCAATGAGGACAACGGGAGTCCATCTGAAAAGAAGTCGGCCCCCATCCTCCTACTCCAAAAAAGTACCAAGTTACTGAGTTACTATCATGAAGGATTTCACACAAAGTGCCTTTCCTTCTGAGAGATGTTATTGTTTTGATGAAGATATCAAATCTTGCTTATTCTATTTGATCAAACTTTTGAATTTCCATTTTCCCAGGTTTTCTAAACAGGTATACATGAGCAAATAAATATCCACATTTTAGGAGAAAGTAAGCCGAATATTTTTTCCAAATAGCAGCCTTGGAGATGAGTGCTGCTGATCAGAGTAGCAGTCTATGACGGGGGGGGGGGGGGGGGGGCTCAGATTTTAGAGAAAACCAAGTGGCTCTGTTCCCTGGAGGAGAGGCAGGCTTAACATTGCTGATTAGCAACACATCCTAGCTAGAAAACTGAGAGAAGCTTAAGAAAGTGTGATGGTTTACTCAAGATCACATTGTTAGGGAAAGAGTGGGGATTCTTTGATTCTCTCCCTCCCTGCTTTGGTTCCTGATCTAGAACTCTTTTTAAAGGATCGAGAGTTGCCTCTCTGTGTAAGTGTAGAGTAATATAAAAAAAAAAGAACATTAGACACTTAAAGACAATTACAAGCTATAGGGCACTGAACCGGAATGTCTGTAGCCATCAAACTAATGAGACCTACCTATACCTATGATACTTACAATCACTCCGGGATAATAACCTCCAACCGTCACATTCTGGGTCCTAGTGGTTGCTGCAAGACCCACAGTGAGAATCAGCACAGACACAATAAGCAAAGTCACGGTCACATAGATGGAGTTTCGTTTCCTCCGATTGAAGGCTCCTAAAAACACACAAGAGAAACACAAAGTGGTCATTTTGGCACAGAAGGGATGAACTGGGGGAAAAAAGCCAAAGGTAAGTGGGGTTTTCTTCTGGGGAGAAGAATTAAAGAAAAGGAATGTGTTTTAGCTTCTTACAATTATTAGGTACCCTGTAACAATAAAAACATCTTTCTAGGAGTCAGACAGATAGTACATCAGGTAGGGCACTGGCCTTGCATGTGGCCAACCAGAGTTTCATCCCCAGCACCACATATGGTCCCCCAGCTCCGCCTGAAGTAATTCCTGAGTGCAGAGCAAGGAGGGATCCCTGAGTATTACCAGATGTGCGCCCTTCCCTAGAAAAATACTCCCCCATCTTTCTAGTTCTAGCAGAAGTCAGCTTGCTAAAAGGAAAACAAATACTTGAGCTGTTGGCATTCTACATTAAAAAAAGTGTCATACCCACTTGGGAGAGTGCTTTTTTAGGCCAAATTACAAGGCCTATGATAAATGGGAAGTGTACTTGCGGAGGTATTAAATGAAAATATGTTCACACCAATATGCTACTAAGACGGTTTCTTTCAGACACTGGAGATATGAAATTTCATTTTCAGTGTAAATATCAGAACCAAGGCAGGGTCTGAGACTTTTTCCCCATTTATTTCTGACATTTGCCACCTCATGTATAAACTTTAAAATGGTGTGTTGGCAAGATCTGTCACATAATAAATGTGTGTAATAAAGTAAGCGTGTGGAGACCATTAGTCCACTCTGATATGTATCGGGGGAGGTAGATGGGGAAGATGATAACTTAGACACATTTAAGCTCGTGTGTGTGGGGGGGACATAAATATACATGCCGAGAAGGCAGTTCTACTCAGTGCTTATCAGACATGAGAGCGCAAACCAATATATTTTTTTCCGAAACAGGCTTATTAAGTCAGATAGAATAAATGATATCAAGGCTCACTTTCCATTTCATTTCCCCTCTCACCACCCCCCCCCCCCCAACAAACCTGGAACCATGGCTTTCTTAGCATTCCTTAGGGTTGGGCTTGCATGGGGAGGGGGCCTTCAACAGGAAATTGCAGGGGGCTTATCATCTCTTTCTCTTCAAAATAAGGACATGTAGCAATAGGGAGATGCTAGGGCAGTCCAGTTCTTTCTTTCTTTCTTTCTTTCTTTCTTTCTTTCTTTCTTTCTTTCATTTTTGGGTCACACTCAGCAACGCTCAGGGGTTACTCCTGGCTCATGCCCTCAGGAATTACTCCTGGCAGTGCTCGGGGTACCATATGGAATGCTGGGAATCGAACCCAGGTCAGCTGCATGCAAGGCAAATGCCCTACCCGCTGTGCTATCGCTCCAGCCCTAGTCCAGTCCTTTAGTAGTGGATGAGGCCTAGGGTTGCCTTTTTAATGGAGTCAGAGTCACCTCACAAGCAAGCTTGACCATCATTTCTGGGCTTAAGGTGGTCCTTTATGTGTGTTCGGAAGTGTCTGCCATTCTATCATGACAGAGACCTCTATGCTGTCTTAGCATGAAGCTTCTGTCTGAAGCCAGAGTGGTTGAGGAAAGGAGGGGGCCAAGCCTAGCAGGGAACCCCAAGAGGCTTAGGGGGTGGCATAAAGGAGGGGCAGGGCAGACCTTGCCACAACCATCAGATATCTCTGTGAAAAGGCAAAGGGGAACAATGGCACCCTGGTTAGGGCCCTAAGTCTTTCCCAGTGCAGGGCTGAGGGGGGGAGGGGAAGTGGCACAGAAAGCACCAGTGCAGGTTGGAAAGACTGTTGGTCTCTCCTGATGTCAGCCTTGAAAAATGAGGGCTCGGGACTGGAGCGATAGCACAGAGGGTAGAGCGTCTGCCTTGCACGAGGCCGACCTGGGTTCGATTCTCAGCGTCCCATATGGTCCCCTGAGTACCGCCAGGAGTAATTCCTGAGGGCATGAGCCAGGAGTAACACCTGGGCATCGCTGGGTGTGACCCAAAAAGGAAAAAAAAGAAAAAATGAGGACTCTCGAGTCTTTCAGGGTCATTTCTCTTTGTTTTAGAGTCACGCCCAGTGATGTTCTGGGAGTTACTCCTTCCTTGGGGGACCCTATGGAATGCTGGGATCGAAACCACATTGCCCACATGCAAGGCAAGTGTCCTACCCGCTTGTACTGTCACTCTGACTCCCCTCAGGGTCTTTTCTAAGTCGACCTTAGGAATTCTGTCAGAGACCCTAAGGGTGTGAGTTTGGTTTGGCACCCATTCCACCTAAGGGACTTCTCTCACTCAGGGGAGGAGCAGGAAGGACAGGTGGGGAGGGAGGCACCTCCTCCCACAAAGCTGCTTCACTGGGAGAAGACAAAACGGCTCACCTTTTGCGGGGGTGAATTCTAGGGGGTACAACTAGGGAGCTAGTGGTGGGAAACTGCCTGTCAGGGATCAGGGTGGGGGAGAATAAATGATTCCAGCTGACTTGAATGAAGCCTGGTTTCTCCCCCGAAATGAGTCTCAAAACCAGGTCCCTGCCAGCTACCCTGTTCCACCCAGGGCCTCTGAGGGAAACTTACCCACCGCCCCGGCATCCCCATCTCCCCTGTGACTCGTACCATCTCCAATCCTCCACCACCCCAAATTTTCCAAAGGTAGTGAGGGAACCCCTGAAGACACCAAGGGTATGTTGGTGGCACATCAGAGTTTGCCAAGACCTCACAAGGAAAACATTCCACCTCAGAAACTCAACTGGGCGGGGGAACGGGGACTGTGTGAGTGGGCGAAGTCTTACTTAGACATCTTTGAATTTGTTCTCACTCACCTGCTCCTTCCCTGCTAACTGACTTGGGTCTCCTTTGCAAATATCACTCAGTTTATAAAAGCGCAGAAGCCAGGTAAGATAAGTGACTCAGCAAACCACATAGTGTCATCTGAAAATCTTGTTTCTTCCCTCTTGCTCTAGGACTTGAATTGAGCACTGAGTCTCTAGAAAAACCCAGGTAAAGATACTCCAGGATCATGAGATTCCCCTGGCTTCAAGATCTTATTAGGTTGAAATAAAGTTCCAATGAAAAAATCTCCCTTTATTGGGTTGAATATGGAGTCTCTGTTCCCATATTCTCTGCCTTAAATCACCTTTTTCTGATCTAAAGATCATAATTGCATTAAATTAAATGATTTCCTCTTTTTCTTGGCAACACTGACAGTTTTCAATCCACCCTGTGTGAATCCCTTTGGGAAATTGAAGACTCCATTTCTCCTTACAATTGAATTGGGGGGAGGCACACCTGGCAATGCTCAGGGGTTACTCCTGGTTCTGTACTCAGGAATCACTCCCGACAGTGCTCCCAGGACTATATGGTGCTGGAGATTGAACCCGGGTCTGTCATGTGCAAGGCAAGAGCCATACACATTGTACTATCATTCTAGCTCCTCTTTACTGTTGATTTGACTTGCAAAATTCACAACTACTTAGAGCTAGGCACACCATGTCTCTGCAAAGACCAGGCATCTGATTGTGTCTGCAGAGATATTGTTCTGGTGGTCTTACTGGCTAAGGAAGAGCCCTGTTCATATTAAGGTAAATTTGTGATCTGTTGGGATATTTTCGTGAATACAGGAACCTCTTATTTTACTTTTGTTTAGCAAATACCTTTAAACAACAAGAACAACAAAACTCCGGACCCCATGAGGTACTTAAATTAGGCAGCAAATCCTTGCAAACAGAGCTCATTACAGTATTTGATACCTAGTGTGCAGTCAATACTTGTTGAATAAGAAAATGGCAACACCCCCAAATTGCTCCCCGCTGCATCAGACCTTAGAAAGAAGTGGATGAAAAAATAAAAATGGGCTATGTGCACAGAATTTATTTTTAAATGGAAGCTAATACCTGAGGACTCCCCAGAACGGAAAGTCCCTCCCAAGTCAGTCAGTCAGTCGGCTGGACGCCTGGTATGTTTCTGTTTAAACCACGCCCGTTGCAACTATCCGCAGCAGGAGTCTGAACTCAAGGCCTTTGCTTTGCTGCTCCTTTTCTCCCCCAGCCGCCTTCCTTCAGAATCTCTACAGCCCCTGCGCTGCCCCACCTCCACCCTAGCTTGGTGACGACTAGGATGCTCAGCTCCACAAGGGTCCAATGATTTGCTGTCTCCATCCTTCCCACTTCTCCCTCTTCCTTGGTCTCCTCCCCTTCCCTCCCTCCCACCCCGTCAGAGCCCCCACTGCAGTGCAGTCTTTTTGCATCTCAGTCCCTCTCTTCTTTGGCAATCACAAAGCAGTTTTTTTCTGGATCCACCTCACTTAGTTCCAATTGATCATTACCTCCCATCCCCCCCAATACATCCCTTACTCCCCCAATACATCCCATGTAAGGCTACAAATGATGGTTATGGTGATAACCCAAGGGATCTCTATCGGTTCCAGCAGGGGTGAGCTGCTGGAAGGTAGAATTTTCTCCGATCAATTGTGGTTTTCACATTGTACATGTTCTTGAGGACCCCTTTGATGATAGAGCTATGATCTCCTCCTTCATGGAGTGCAGCAAAAGTCTGAGCCCGCTATTCCACCCTGCACTCTATGTTGCTGAGGACGGATTAATTTTTGGAGTCCATCTTTTCAACCTGTTAGTATTGGCTTACCTGGGTCAGCTTTGTCACACTGGGAGGGTCCCCAGAAGTCCCAGCTTTGAGCATCCGTGGAAACAGGTGGCTGCTCACAGGGAAGTCTCCAGATGGTCAATTTCCCAAACATTTCCTTAAAAGTGTTGAAATCCACCAGCACCCATGCCTTTAGCAATTCTTTGACCGGAGACAGCCAAAGCCAAGGGCGAATTACCTACCTATTCCCTTTGGCCTGGGAAGTACCTTGCTGTAGTAGAGAGGACTTAACGCCTGGGGGCGGTATTGCCAAAAGGGAGAAAAGGGTTGCAGCTGGATGAGGTGAGGGGGCGCTGGAGTCAAATTACCGGCTTTTGATAGCCAAACGCTAGTTCTGCCCCAGGATTATCCACTCCTCCAAGGCACCTTGGTGCAATGTGTGTCTGTATTTAATATTTGATCTTTTGGGCTACATTTTTTTCCCAGTAGAGAGAATCTCCATCCGAAAATCCACCTTAGGAGACAGCAACTCGAAACACCCTCCACCGGGGGATGCCCCCATTCCTCCTCGCCATACCGAGGAAATTTCCCCTGCCAGAACTAAGAAAAGTCCCTCCCAAGTACCCAAGATGCTGATTCAGACTGGGGTTGGGCAGGACCAGCGCCAGGGAACTCCGGGAAGCCTCTCGTGTCAAATTGTGGAAACCCAAGATTACCACCTGAATTAGCTAGTGCCCTCGGTGTGAGGAATTCACCAAACCAAATGCCTGGCACAGGCTCGTGCGTCTATATGAGATTGAATATTCTATTTCCCGCAGTGTGGAGTGTGGGCCGGGGAGAAGCCCCCTCGGTTTCTTGTTGCGCAGACCTTTTGTGAAACGCCCGTGGGAGTCTAAGAACTGTCTTCCTCTTGTTCTCCAACCCACTGAGCAGTGAGCTAAGTGTCAAGGCTTAAAACCGGGGTCACTAAGCAGCCCACTTCCATCAAGCACCAAGTGGCCTCAGGGAAGCTGTGTTTGCAAGTGGTTAGGGTCCGTGATGGGCTTGCACGCTGCGGAACTCCAGCCTTCCATCGAGCCCCTGCACCGTCTGGGAGCCAGTGCTGCGTTGGCGCCACAGCTGGCCAAGGTGAGGAGTGCACTGTGCCCAGCGCGCATGTGTGTGTGTGTGTGTGTGTGTGTGTGTGTGTGTGTGTGTGTGTGTGTGTTAGAGAGTGAGCTGCGGGGTAAGGTGGGGCAGAAAAATCTAGTGCTGCTGAGTTCTGGATTTGGACCTGCGTTCTTTGCCTCATTTGTATGTGCCACGTTGCAAAAAAAATAAAAACCTAAGCCCTTACAATAATAACAGAATTATTATTTTTACAGAAAAGTGAATTCTGTTGCTGCGTGTGCATTTGAAAATACTTATCTTTGCACCCCTGCAGGAGGTAACACTTTCTGGGGCCCCTCCCGTGAACGAATTTTGCAGAGACTGAGTCTGACTGTCAGGAAGGGGCTAGCGTAGCGAGTTCAACCCTCTTCCCGCCCCCGCCCCTCCAGATGTTCCCGCAGATTCTTCAGCGAAAGCCTGAGCAGACTGGATGGCAGGACTTCGGGACCAAGGGGTTTGCAAACTATAAAGTATGACGGAAAGAGAAAAATTCGATGTGATTAAAGTGCATCCGAGGCGAATTTTCAGATCGGGTGGGACCATGGTTTGACAATCCCCTCCCGCTCTCTTGGGCTCCAGTCTTTTCTCCGCCCAGTGAAATCATAGGGTTTGGGATGGTGCTTAACCAGACGGTGGGGTCTGGGTTTAGGTTGTTTGCAAATACCAAAACTCCCCTTCGAAGGGCAGCCAAACTAGGGCTCTGAGGTAGGTATCCCCAGACCCCCACCTTTGATGAGGAAAGGTGTGGAACCAAGTCAGGTTGGTGGGTTTCCCATTCTCCCCTGCGTAACAATGAGAGTGTGAAAAGCGCCGCTTAAGAAGATGCGCGGGCTCGCTCTTGCTCGCTCTTTCTCTCGCTCTCAGTCGTCTCCCCTCTTATTTTTCACACTCACGCACATTCCGTGCATTTGGGGCAGAACTGGACATCGCATTTAAGGAATGTTGATCCTGCCGCTCCAGACGGCAGGGTCAGAGAGTCTTGAAGGATTCCTCCAGAATTTCCCTCCCGCCGGCCCCCCTCCCATTTTCTCCTATTCCTCCCCGCGCGTTCGCCCATCCCCCAGGGTTGCGCCACCACCCGCCCCCCCCCCCCAGCGAGGTGCAAATCAATCCCCCCCCACCGCAGCCCCACTGCAGCTTCGAATCTCAACGAAGCTTCTATGGATTTGAGAGGGGGCGAAGACCCCACTCCTTCTCGTTAGCGGTAGGTAGTCTGGATCTCTTCGAAGTGACGCGGACTTTGCAAAGCGGGAGCGTCGAATGGCAAGCGAAGGCGCGGATTGCAGGAAAGTGTTGCGATGCCGCCAGACTGCTGGGTTTTACCGCCAGTCTGTTAGGTACGCACACAAACGCCACTCACACACCCGCAACTCCCCGGCCGGCCGGGGCGATTCGGACGCCACCCGGGCGCTGGCGGCTCCGTGCTTTGCTCCCGCCCCCCACGAGCCGCTCCCCTGGGACTCCGCTCGTGACCCCAAGGCGACAGTAGGGACGCGGACCTCCGCCCCCGCCTCGCTGGGCGCTCTCTAGCTCCGGGGCGCTCCCGGTTCTCCCAGGAGCTAGGGCAGCGCACTCACCTCCGGCTGCCGCCGCCCCTAAGAGAGGCGGCTCGACTTACCCATGGAATCGGGCAGGGACATGTCGCTGGACCGCTGCTGAGTCAGGGACTGATGCATGGTGAAAGCTGACTGGTGGTCCCGGCCCCCGAAGCTGTTTCCTGCGACCCCCCGCCTCAAGGAGCCCCGCAGAGCATCCTGCTCCGTTGGCGGCCGCTCCGCGTCCCTTCGAGAGCTGCTGCGAGAGAGACCGCCTCGGAGCTGCAGCCGGAGCGCCGCCTCGCCTCCCCCTCCCTCCCCTCCGCTCCCTCCCTCCTCGCCTGCCTCCCTCGGCTCCCGGAGGCAGCAGCATTGGCGGGCCAAGCAACTGCGTGCGCTTGCGCAAGACCCCCCCTCCCTCCTACTCGCCCCCCCCCCCCCCGCCCCATCCTAGTTATCCACCTCCCGGCTTCCCAAGCCAGACAGGGAGCCGTTTTTGCCCCTTGGGGCCTAGGCTGCACCGCGAAAGAGCGAGAGGTTACAAACAGCCTGGGGCCAAGCAGCCTTCTCCACAGTTTGGAGAGAGGGGCTGGGAGTCTGCAACTGGATCTAGGAGATGTAATTTGGGGAGGATGCCGAGCCAGAGGTGCGGAGCTGAGGAAACACACACACACACACACACACACACACACACACACACACTTGTGTAGGTTTGGTCTTAGTGCTTCCAGAATGACATCATGGAGCTGGAGATGATCCAGAGAAGGGCCACTCTGTAATCAGGGGGAGGAAAGGGGCTGCCATATGAAGATAGATTAAACAAATGCAGACTCTTTAGTGGAGAAAGATGAAGGCTGGGAAGGGATGTGATCAGAGTGTATAAAATCATGCAGAGATGGCAGGGGGAAGGGGAGGGGAAAGGAAAGCACAGCCTCATTTCCCAGCTGGGAACATTCTAGAACCAACCCCTAAGAACTAGGAGTAGATCCTGCAAAAGCAAATATGCTTTGGGTTCAAAGTATTTTCTTTTTCTATAAAGGAGTTGTAGCAGGGGCGGCAGGTATCAATAATCCCACTAAGAAACAGCCGCAAGACAAAAGCTATCATTCTCCTTTTGTCTGCTCGGCAGTGGCAGAGGGAGGCTTTGAACCTAGATCTGTTAGATGCTCCAGGTGGGATTACTACCTACTATGGTGCCTGCAAAGATAAGTTCTTCTATCTAGAATACTGAAAACCTAAAGCGTTCACTAGCTCCTAAATATGTGGCAGGACAACCACACAAGGAGTTTTGAGATGAGTGGGATGATCCGAGGCCCACAGAATCAGCTTGGTGGCTGGGGCAAAGTAGGAATGAGGTGAGAATGCCCCGAGCTTAGAGAATAACCAAGCCCAACTACAACCCATCCTTCCAGGACACTATTTTGAATATGGAGCTGAAGGTGCCATGTGTTTGACCCAGAGGGATGGCTCTGATAGTCTCTAAACACCAACAGGACATGATGAGGCCTCTTGGGCATGTCCCAAGAACAGGGAACCCAGGGATGAACAATAACTCCCAGCTCCCTGGGGAAACTGTACTTGATGGACTCAGCATGCCAGGGCCTTGCCCACCTTGGATGGCTTTCATTCCAACCCAGGAAAAACTTCCCAGGTTCATCTCACCAGGCTTCCTTCCAAGTCCCTTGGTGATGATGGCATCAACCTTCTCTGCAAGCCCGGATCAAAATCCTCCAGGCAAGGTAACCAAGGACCCTTGCCCTGTCTCAGCTTCTGAAGGACGAAAGTCTGCTTCTGGAAAAGGCAAAAAGAACCCCTGTTTCAAGAACATGGGTTCCACAGAGGCTGGGGAGCAGCTCTATACACTGACCATCTGGTTTCGAAATCTGTGATATGGGGCAGGAGAGATAGTCCAGGGGGTAAGGTACAGGTCTGATATATGCAGCCAACTTCAGCCAATCTTCAAGCCCAGCCAGGAGTGACCTCTGAGCAGAGTGCCCCCTGAACACAGCCTGGTGTGGCCTACAGCACCCTCCCCCATCCCATACACAAAAGGAATCTGTGAACTGTCTTCTCAACAGAGACAACATACCCACAGTGGAGAGAGAAGACAGAGGTTAAGGAACATGTCCAACCTTGGTTTAATCCCCCCAATTCTCCAGATAGTTCCCAGAGCCCCACCAGGAGTGATCTCTGAGCACAGAGTGAGGAATAAACCCTGAGCACTTGTCAGGTGTGGACCCAAACACCCCTTGCCCACAAAATACCAAGGTACCCACGGTGATAGAGAGGTGTGTCTCCAGCATGCTGGGCTTAAAGGTCAGCATCCATCAGTTTCAGAAAGGATGAGAGAAACCCCCAATTTATAATCTCCCCACAATGGTCTTCTCTTCTATTTACTTATCTACTTTTAAGTAAGCTTTTATCCCCCACCCAGACAGCATACAACCTCTAAATAATCTGCAGCACCACCCTGCTTTCTCAGGAGCATTTCCTAATCAACTGATTTTGCTTCTGTGCAAGTAGTCTTTGACGAAAAGAGAAAAGGCTACAGGCTGGTGTGGAGGGGGGGGAGCTGTTTTACAAAACCTTCGGCAGATTTTTCCTCCCTTGTGCCAACCTTATAGCTAGAGAACCCTCTAGAAACAAAATCCACTTGTTGTCCCGCTGATTTCCTTGGACAGAATGAAACCTTTTTTGATTTCTGGGAGAAGCAAATTGCCCATTATTTGACACCGGAACAACTGTAATCTGTTAGAATCAAAGCCCATCAACTAGAGAGGTGCCTTTCAGGCAGCAAGCCTCGGTTTTGAAAACATCTGTGTTTCTGAATCCTGCATGAAAATGAAACACTGAAAAAGGTACTTAAAGGTGCTGGCTATTTCAAAGAATGCCAAGTCATCTTTGCCCTGCCGAATGTTTCCTGTTTTCCCTAAGGAGACCTGGAGCACAACAGGCTCTCAGGCATGTCAAAAATGACTTGAAACCTTGTAGCAAACCCAGTAGCAGCTGCGGCAGCTTAGGAGGCAGTACCCTTGTTCTCCCTAGAGAGGGTGTGCTTGTTTGGACAGAGGGCGAGAGTTAAGAAAGACTAGAAAGGGAACTGGAAGAAACAAAAAACACAAGCTGAGCACAGGGACTTTCCCCCTTTCTTCCAAAACATAGTTGCCTTTCATTGTTTTTCATGCAGAAGAAGTTTAATGGATCTTTACAAAGTAAGAGGCAATTTTGCATGGACTTCACCCTGATGTTCTTTGTCAAAACACGTGTGGATTTTAGATATTTTAAGAGGCTCCTAGAACAATTTACCCAGGTGCGGAGGAACAGGTCTTTCCTGCAAGTGAAGGCTACTATACAACTGGTTGGTTAACTTTTGATCTAAAAAAAACGATTAAAATAACTTAAAAGAAATCTTTTTCATTGCAAGCTTAATCAAGCATACAATGTTTTCCTACATTGCAAACTGTTTTATAGCCCGTGGAAATTTTGCCGGAGGGGCTACAGCTTGTTTCTGTCTGTCTTCTTCAAATAAGAACGTTCCCCAGAAGTTTTTTGACTACTCGAAAAATGGCAGATGGCGCTTGGTCTCTAATTCATTCAACTCGGCAATAGCCATGAACCTCCATCACTTTCTCCTTACTTTGAGGATCTGTCTGACTAAGGAAATTGCCATAGTCCTTTCTTGATGTCACATTTGGGAGGCGAACTAGGTGATCATTACTACTTGTTTACATCCATGCCCGTGCATACATATGTATTTAGAATGGTGGCTATGATAATATTCAGAAATGCATGTGCGTACACAAATACATCCCAGTCATTCTCTGTACACTTCAGTTACCATCACCCACCTCTCAGTTGCGAGCTTAGTTGACCAAGAACAGAGTTTTCAAATAATGCAAAAACTCATGGACACCAAACAGCTCTAACTAAACTTGGAGTGGTGTCAACCAGTTTACCGTCAGTCAATACCTGACACCCTGAAATACCTGTCAATACCTGACTTCCCAGAGGAGAACTAAGGTGAATGGGATCATCCCACTCAGGAAACTTGACTGGTTCTCATGGTCCACTGGCCATTCTCTTTAGGTACCAGGAAAATCACCATGGTCCCAGAGAACAATACTGGTATTTCTGTTATCTTGATTATTGTTTTGCCCTGTTCTTTGACCTTCATTATTTGTAAGGCATTATCTAAGAAGTGGAGCGATAGCACAGCGTGCCTTGCACGCAGCCAACATGGCAGACCCGAGTTCGATTCCTCTGCCCCTCTCGGAGAGCTCGGCAAGCTACCGAGAGTATCGAGCCCACACGGCAAAGCCTGGCAAGCTCCCCGTGACGTATTCGATATGCCAAACACAGTAACATCAAGTCTCACGATGGAGACGTTACTGGGCCCGCTCGAGCAAAACGATGAACAACGGGAGGACTGTGACTGTGACTGTGACTGTTTTCCAAGACCGATTAAAAATGTGAAGGGGGACAGAGTGATAGTACATTGAGTAGGACATTTGTTTTGCATGCAGACAACCCAGGTTCAATCTCCAGCGGCACAGAGTCCCCTGAGCCCTGCCAGAAGTGATCCCTGAGCACAGTGCCAGGAGTAAACCCTGAACACAGCCAAGAATGGCCCCAAACCAAATAATAAAAATAATAATTATTATTACAAAAATAAACATTTAAAATGTGGATGACACAGTTTTCAATGGATGAAACATTAGTCATTTTTAGTGATCACATATTTTAGAAGTTTCTGGTTTTACAGCATTATAAATAACAATGAACCAATCTTTGCATCCTCATTATCACAAAATATAATACTGTACTTAAATTATGGCTTAAAAGTTCAATTGCATTTTTATAATTAATTGTTTTAATTAATTAATCTAATAAGATGCACAAGTCTTTACCTTATTTTAATTAATTTATTGAGGGTGGGGTCACACCCAGCAGTGCTCTTGGAATGTTCCTGGCTCTGTGCTCAGGAATGACCCTTAGCAGTGCAGAAGGGACCATATGGGGTTCCACGGATTAGAAACAACTTTGCAAGATGCAAGACAACTACCTTCACTCCTGTTCTATATCTCTGACCCAAAAGTTTGTTTGGGTTTTTGTAGCCACACTTGGCAGTGCTCAGGGCTTACTCCTGCCTCTGCACTCAAGAATCAATCCTGGCAGGGCTTGGAGACCATATAGGGTTCTGGGGATGCAACCAGATCATGCAAGGCAAGTGCCTTACCCGCCATACTAGCTCTCTGGTCCCTTTGGTTAAATATTGTCAAAT